GAGCGTCTCTAGGTGAATTCTTGGCTTTGTTTGCATCAGTGGAAAAATACTGCTGACTCCAACAGAGCTACCATTTAATCTTTTATCTATGTGTTTTTGTGCTGCAGTGCACCTACCCAGATGGAAGACTGCATCTAACGCGCCTTGTCAAGGTGTCCTGCGGCGTTGATCTCCTTCCCTAGGTTATCGCCAGGAATTTAGCATCAGTTCTAAAAACCCATGGTAGTCATTGAAGGTCTTTGTGCTGACTTCAGGGGCTTCTGGATTGAACTCGGACTCTGTGTTAAAGCAACAAACACCCCCCCTGTTTTACAGCTCATAAGAAGTAATGGAAACTTTAACCACTGTTGTACACAATCAGGTCTTGTAATGGAGCCTGTTGGTTCTGTGGCCTTTGTGATGAAAAGCTGGCATAAATCTTGCATTGCCTTCGGGTCATGACTTGTATACCAGAGCGCTCTGTTTCTCCAGCAGCTGTATGTTTGAATATGAATTGCAGCAGACTGTTTTGCTTTTTGGGGTTTTTTTTTTGCCTTAGCACTTGAAACAGATATATAATGTTACCACCTCTAGTGCTGAGAGAGCTCGCGTGGAATGTCTCCTGGTTAGCGGACCCCAGCCGGGAGAGAATCGAGGCATTTTCTGCAGTCGTGCGTTTTGATCCCTCCCTCTTAGACGTGCTTTTCATGTTACAAAGCAGCTTATGGAGAGGTTAGCCAGCACTGCTTGGGGTAGGGTTTCACTTCTCTTGAATTTCGTCAGGGTAAAATGCTTTGTTTTGCATTCTTGTTTTTCAGCAAAATCCTCGCCATCAAAAACAGGGCATGGTTTTAATCTGTGGATGGTCAGAAGATACTGCACTTTCTCAGTGATCACATCAGGACACTTCCCTGCCCCCATCCCTGATCAAGGCAGCTTGGGACAAATAATCATCTGTTACTCATTGTGAAAATTTTGAAGTGAAATGTAAAGACACTGAAAAGATCTTGAAGGATAGCTGGGCTGTGGCCAGTGAAACACGGAAATCAAACAGCCGTGTAGCCGACTAGTCGGTGCATTTTGTATGGCTAAGACTTCTCTCGCTCTCTGTCTTTCTGTACGTACATTCTCTTCCTTCCTTTCCATCCTTTTTTCCCTGGTACAGAAGTCCCAAGGAAAATAGTCCAAAGTGATGTTTAATTGTTTAAACCACAGCCACATCTCCTCTGCGCCATGTAGCTTTCCGTTTGCTGCTTTGGCTTGTCAGTTAATAGTTTGTCATTTTTTTAAAAGCTTACACTCTGCAGGCAGCTGTGATGTTGACACCTTTCAAGGTAGAGATGTCGAATTAAGTGCAGCTTTGAACTATCCAAAGATAATTTCAGACCTCCTGCTTCCAGTGTGTAACAAGCTGACTGCTGAGCTTTCAGGTTGGGTTGAATGCTGAATAACCTAGGAGTTGCTTTTTTGTTTGATTTATTTTGTTGTTAACTGGCTTCCTAACACGTTACAGATCAGTGTAATGGATCTGCAGTGGGTTTTTTTTAAACGTTTGCCTAGATCAGTGGGTGTCTTTTTGAAATGTTTGTCTAGATCAATGGGTATCTGTGTCCTAGCACCATCCTAATATGAGGATGAGTTGGTGACAGAGTGAAGTGGTAAGCTGATTAATTTTACTACTATTTTTTTGCATGTGTGATATATGCTGAGTTAGCTCTCTTACACGTTGATACCCTTTGCTTTAACCAGCATTCGTGGTGTAGCATGCATGGTTTTTGCTTTCATCAGACAGTCTCTCACTTGTTCGGACTCCAGTTGCATCTCCCAACCCCCTGTTGGGTGGATTTTGTTTCAGGCATTTCCCAGACAGGCTGCTTGAGGCACAGAGCCCTAAAGAACCTGTGCAAGGTCAAGCAATATATTTGTGTCCGTGCAAATGCTGGAAGCCGTCCCTGGAAAAGCCTGCCGTTTAACTGGAAAGTGTGGGCAAAATGCACAGGGAGATTATTTCTCATATGACTGTTGGTCATTTAAGCTGGGTACTGAACCCAGCCATCTCAGGCAGCCTTTCCGTGCCTTGTGGCTGTCCAAGCGGGGAGGGTTTTTCAGTGTCTTAGCCAGGACATGAGAATTCCTGAAGCTAGGTTTGTGGAGAGTGTAAGTGAACGTGGCAGCAGAAAGCCCGGCTTGGAATTAGCAAGATCAGCAACAGCGTTTTGTAGTGGTTATGCAGCATGGAGGAGCTTTGCTTTTCCCAGTACTGCAGCGATGCACCTCCCAGCTCCAGAACGTCCTCTTGCTGGATCTTCCAGCTGTCTCCGAGCATGTTTAGAGGCAAATCATATTGTTACAGAGCCCAAATCGTAGTGGAGGAAATGAAGTGACACGGGCAATGTACAGCCTCAGAAATGAGATGGAGGATTGATGAGGCGGAGAAATAAGACATAAATATGCAAAATTCACTAATGGCAAAGAGGTGGGAATAATGAAGGATATGCAGGGAAGCTCTCACAGCTGCAGCGTGAACATCCTGTGTATTTGCCCAGCTGCGCTATAATTGGTCGGGTCTGTTTCTCTGAGACTTCCCGAAGAAGTGGAAGGTCTTTCTGGTTGTGCTGGCGGTACATAGGATTCATGGCAGAGGACCAAAAGGTGCAGAAGTGGTTGCTGAAATCATGTCTGCCTTTAAACACGGCGAACAATGGAAACCGACTATTAATATGTAAAGAATCTGTGGCTGGTGTTTTGAATGCCTTGCTCTTTTTTCCATTGCATTAGGGCATTAGCTGACATTTTGTAAATGCTGTGGTCAGACCCCCTGCTGGGAAACGCAGTATGTGGCTCTGGTCTGAAAACAAAGATGCTGGAGTCCTGCAAAGGCAGAGCAGAATGTCAGGAGGCACCGATCCCCCCCGCGGGGACTCGGAAATGAGCAGGGTAGGAAACGGAGGGGAAGAGAATCCGGCTCAGAAAGCTAAAGCCCTGGCCATGTCCTGGTGAGGATGTGGGCCAAAGTAACTGCAGAGACCACAGACTTGTTTCCAGCCCAGCAGGAGCCTCGGGAGGCAGAAAAGCAAATTGAGGCGAGAAGAGACCTTGAAGTGCTCTCTCAAGCTAAATGAATGTGTGGAATGAGGGATTGAGCAAGGTGGTTGGAGAGCGGGGAAGGCATTTGCATGTCAGGCTGGGAGTAGTGCCTGGATGTGAATTTTTGGATGGGGAGCTGAGGAAAGGTGGGTGTGATGGGGGGGATCGCTTGAAAAGCCAGCCCTTGCTCTGTATACTTAGTGCTTGCGAGGTTCAAATAGCAGATCAGAAATGGAGCAGGCCTGTATTCCCTGTTATCTTGACCTCCGGAGAGAAAATCACCGCAGTTCTCTGGAAGCACTTTTTGTCTTTAAAGCTGTGGCTAACCCTGATTGAATAATACGTAAACGGAGATCGGAGACGCCCCTTTTCAAATAATTAGCCGGTAGTTGCCAGGATCTTTTTTGTTTTTTTCCTGTTGCAAGTACAGAGGAAAACGGTGGCATCCTCAGACACTAGCACATGGCAACTGTTGGCAACTGCCAGCTCTTTAATGGGGACCACCGTGCATGGGATTCGTCTCCCAGCTTGAGGGTGGGGCTGACAGCTGGGACGCGGGAGTCGAAAACTCTCCCCTTGGATGGGATTAGAACTGGGCTGGGTTGGACAGCTGGGAAGGGGCATTGCGTTCCCTTTCAGTGAAAGGACTGACGACTGGGAAGAATTAGGGAGGTCACTTTTTGGGTTATAGGAGATTAGTACATCTGGACCTAACTGCGACTGCACAAGCAGGCTGGAGGGAGAGAGGGTGTGAGAGAGAGTCCGGTTTTCTCTGGTTCCAGAGAGACCCTACCAGAGGTATCATTTTGTACCATTACATCATCAGGATAAACTCTGATTAAGCCGCACCCTGGACAAATGGGATTAATTTTGCCTGAAAATCTGAATCCCACTTGCAGCATGAGTTAGGGGGGGTAGGCTCTCTCCAAGGTGGGGGTCCCATGGAAAGTGGGTGAAATCTGCTGTTACATGCTGAACTGGTGACAAACCCAGACTGCTGGACCTGATCCTGAGCCTGTTTGCTTTCCTGACAGGGCCTCCCTCTTACTTCACTCTGCCTCAAGCCTGTGGTTTCACTGCTATCACATACATGCATGGAAGCGTTTCTACCCCAGCCTGGGCAAATACTGGCAGGCTGTTGCATCTGGATAGGACTGGCTTGCACCTGACAGTATGAAGAGACATGTCCAAAAGTGCTTTTTTTTTTTTTAATATGCTTGAAATCACAAACAGAAGTCCCGCTCTGCCAGCTACTGTAACACGTCGGGGTTGTCGTTTGGGGTGCCGAGGGGATTAACTAGTCTCTGTTCATGCTGAACTTTGAAGATGCTTATTGAAGAAGGCCTGCATCTTGACTTCTGTCTCTCGGACAAGCCGGACCAGCCCCTTTTTTTTGTTGCCGGTCCCACTATGTGTGGTAAATTGGCTGATGGGCACCCTGCCACAAGTGTACATGCATGCATACATGTATACACACGCGCGTGCCTCCCCATCGCCTTGTTCCTCCTGGCGGTCAGTTCTTTCATCTGCTTCTTTTCTGGGTAGGCTTCTTCCTCCTGTTCCAACTACGATTTTCATTCCCCTCTAGTCCCAGCCTGCTTCCCATCTCCCCCTCCAGACACTCGAGGGCTCGGTGCTGCCAGGGTCACTGCATTGGTAGTTCTCTGGGGCTCGGGCTCCTCCACTCTCGCAATTGTGTTGATTGCAGTGATAGCATGGAAAATGAGATGCTTGTACTGGAGAACTACTGTTTGAGCCCGAGGCCTGTTCATAATACCTCCCTGGCAGGGGGTGGGTTGGAAGTTTTAATGAAATGTTTGTAAGGTGTGCTGAGATCGTTTGCTGTAAGGGCAACATCTTTTCAATAAAGCCACAGCCCTATCCCACCCATTGTGATATGTTTGGAGCTAAAATAGCAGATTTGGGCAGTTTGATCTCAACAGCTGTTGTTTCTCCCTCTCTCTGCCTTTGATGGTTCAGAAGGATTATTCTGACTCTGCTCTTCCAAAAAAAGAGAGAGAGGGAGAAGCAGTGATTTTTATTAGCGCTTGCTAGTGATCTGAATCCCGTCCCTCCTGCTCTTTGCTAGTTAAAAGGTTCCATGCTGCGCCAGAAATGTATACAGTGAGCGTGTCGTTTGAGAGACTCAAAGCATTTATTGGGAGTTTAAGCACTGCTTGCTACAGCCCCTCTTGATGATGATTCCCTGAGCAGACCTCGGGTGACCCTGCTGACCTGCTAATTGTGCTACAGCCAGTGTGACTCTGTCCTCTGTGTGTGTTTGTGTGTTAATGAGTACGTTAGTTGATGATGGCGAAGGTGTTTGCACTGCCGCACCCCTTTCCTCCAGAGTGCCATGTTGCTGGGTGATGGGGCTTTTTGCCAAAAGCCAGAGGGCTGCTTATCAGTCAAGGATATCAGCCCTCAAAGCTACCTGCTGTTGTTCTGTCCTCATTTGGCTTCAAGTGATGTTGGGTACAGAGGAGCCAAGCGATGGCAAGGTGAAAAGGGACCAGGGTCAGAGAGACTGCAGGGGGGTACAATGTCGTTGTTTTGTTTTGTTTTGTTTTGTTTAGTTTTTTGATGTAAGTAAATTAGTTTAATGAAAGGGGAGTCCTGGTTACACACTGAGCCCAGAGGCAAATCAAACCGCCTCTGATTTGGACCTCCCCAGAAGCCTGCACAAGCTGGTGAGTCAAGAGAGCATGGCCCAGATGTGCACTGTGGTTAGCTCAGGTCACCCAGCTGGCTTGTTCACCCAGATGATCTTTCTCCAAGGTCTTCCAAGCTCCAGCACACCCTTGTGAGAGAGGCCCTGTGCCCATCTCATAGATGGAGGAGGTTTAGGCTGTGGCTAATGGGAGGGTATGGTGAGCAGGAATAGAAACCTGTGCTCTGACACCACTGTCGCTAGCACCTTATGCCATGGGGGTGTCAGACACATTACCTGGGCGTAGCTTTAAATATTTGTGACTTTGGCTTGGAACACCACAAACTTGTGACTTTGCAAGGTGGTTTGGGGCTTTATTC